GTCTTTCAGAACTTGCTTCACAGGTTTGTTCCCGATGCACTATTCAAATTTCTCCCATTCAATCACCTCCTAACGTCCAGGTGATTTTTCTTTTGGGGATAAAGATAAGCATCTTCTTGAACAGGAAAAAGGGGCCCAACAAAAATATTCCTCTGCAAGATCATCACTTTCGATTTGCCTGTATGAAGAGTCAACTTGTTTGAATTGCACCAACTACAGATCTCTGCAAACAGTAAGTTTAGTTCCCTCACAACATCGTCAGTGCTCACCAATGACAAAAGCTGTAGTATCGTCAGGATGCATTAATTTACCTTGTGATACCGATTTCGAGACTGACAGTTATGCTGCGGGCTTGCAACTTATAGCCAAGGATATTATGGTCTGCAAAATCAAAGGCTTTTCTGAAGTCCGCAAAGACTGCTCCAATTACTTTGCACCACTGGAATTGTTGTAAAAATCCTGTATAGCATTGAGTACACTTTTGGGATGCCATAGTGTTGCAGTACTGGGAACATAGGTGTTCTGTTGATGGAATAGCTTTCTTGAAATCCTAGGTAACTTTACGTGGGAGTTAATATTCTTTGACACCTCCCTTGATTCTTCTCCAACTGTGGGTTTGCTATGCCAAGCTTGGGCCTGGTCCAAAGCCAGCTTGGTTTTCTTCAGAATAGGATCTACATGTAGTCACATTCCATTTATAAGATCTTATTGCCCACATACATTTTTGCTGACTTTGCTGACTTTGAATCTAATCTTCTGGAATAGAAGCCATGCGAATTTTCAACGGCATGAAATTCTCCGAAGGCGAGGACCGTAACAAGATGGCAGATATTCCAATGCTATGCAGTAAAATGGCGCACTTGTAGTCTTCTGGCTGGTTGTTTAAGCCCGTGATGATACAGTAATTTTCCCATCGTTGTTTCCAGATTTTCCAGTTGTCGGCCCGATCGCCTTCGATCTCTAGAGGTTGCGGAGGAGAAACTTGTGGCCGACGAAAAGCAGGAGCTGAAGCTCGCGGTCCAGAAGCTTGACTGTCAGAATCAGTAGGCATTGTTCACCGTTGCCACCATGCAACAATTATTACCGGTGTATTAAGCCGGACAAGAAGACGAAGTGAATTGAGCAACTTCAAGATGGCGGTTCAACAACAACTCTTTTAATCCATGAAAGCGAGGCTAATACGTCACGACTTACAATATCTCAATGTTAACCAATGTTAACCAATATTGTCACACATTTAGCAAAGTCGTGAATGAAACACTAATGGCAGAGGAACCAATCCCAGTCCTTCTCATTTGCAGTCCAGAAAAATTCAGATCTGTCCTTGTCATGGGCAGTTCCTGACTTTATCTGTGGCAGGTGAGAAACATTAGTCTTACTCAACAGGCCTTTCACACGTAAATTGTGAACTGGTTTTTGTTATTTTGACCTCTTCTGTTGACAATATATTGTGCCTTTGTGTGGAGTGTGTGAATATTTGGAGTTACTATGCCAATCCTTTACTGGTGCCACAGGTCATCAGCGCTCTGGCCACAACTCTAAATTTTCACTCTTTTGACTCCATCTGTTATAATTTGACACTCCTTTAGACATTCTAGAGTGGTGCTGTGTGCTCTAAGAGGTTTCCCTTTCATTTCTTCAGATGACATGACATCTCCTCTGTTCTTAATATAGAGATGAATTGGCAGTATATCATCAAGAATTCTGAGTTATAGGTGAACAAATACGGTAAAACTTGTTTGTGTAATGTCATGTTGGGAACTTTTGAAATGTACTGCTAGTTCACAGGATTTTTATTCTTAAGCATGCTAGACGTCTGCTTACAGAAGTGAACTTTAAATTCAGTGGTAGTGAAGCGACATACTGCCAATAACATTTCTTATAAGTGGCTAAATAAACGGTTTTGGGACAGAGAGTTAACCCTACCATGGCTAACGAATGAGGGGCTTGCCTGTAACTGAACATGTATAATTTGTGGATTGGATATGAATTATTTTAAAAGTGAAGACAGATTGACAGATATGTATGGGGATGCAGGAAAAACAAAAAGATAACTGATTTAATGTAAAACTGTTGACTGATATAATTAATGCGTAACAAGTTAAGCTGAGGAAGTAAGCATTCTGTTTTGCCTAGACTTTCTCAAAGTCGTTCGCATGGTTTTCTGGTCTGGTGTGGTAGGACCCGGCACCAACGACTTTTATCCCTTGCAGCGCGCCAAATTTACAGGTGGAAAATTTCTCCTGTAATGTTATCCAATCAGAGGCAGCCTTATCAAACCACACGTCAATCAAACAGATCACGTGCGCAAGATCCTGTCTGGGTGAAAGTAAAATTTGCTTCGCTGTTTGTTTATGTAGAGGCTTTTACTAAAACTTAAATTTTCAGCTGGTTGAACAATGCGTTTAGCCAAGGACGCAATTGCTTATGGGTTGCGAAAAGCACAGCACAAAGATGTCCGAGAACATCAAAGGAAAGTAATCGAGGGTTACTGCAGTGAAAAAGACGTATTTCTTTCGGCGCCAACAGGATCAAGAAAAAGCTTGACTTTTGAAGTTGCTCCCTACATTTTCGACTATTTAGAGCACAGCGAAAGACTGGAAGTGTGTTCTGTTGGCTTAGTTGTTGTGCCACTGGTCGCCCTTATGAGGGACCAAGCTGCCTCCTTAGTTGCCCGAGGGATATCGGCTGCTTCAGTTGGAGCAGACTGCACGAGGGAACAAGTAAAAGAAATTTCGGAAGGAAAATACTCGCTGGTATTTGGAAGCCCCGAAGCTCTATTGAATAGCCACCGAAGCATTTCTCATGGAAAACTCAGGAAAAACCTTAAGGCTGTTTTTGTCGATGTAAGTCACTGCATTGCAAAATGGTGAGCGATTGATTTGTTATTGTTTGGGATATACATTTGCAAGACTACAGAATGCGGCAAGGTCACCAGAAAATTTCCATATCATCTAAAATAACAAAAGCATCTATTGTGTCAGGGCTCGTTCTTAGATGCAACATTTATTTTTTGAAGATATCTGTTACCATAATCTCTTAACAAGAAATACAATAAGCTTATAATTAATCAGACATACAAATGTCAGTGTGTGATAAAAGATGAATACCAAATAGACCAGCAAGGATAAAAGTTGTGTACAATAGTTTGGTGTCGTATCTATGTACAGCTCGGAACTGAAATGTTATTACTGTAATTTTTCAGACCTGGAAATGCTGGGTTTTATAAATAATTATTAACTATACCTTAATATAACGAAAATTTTGGTAGTTTTCCCGAAAATTTGTAAAATGGAGGTGTTCGATATAACGAACCCTCGATATAACGAACAAATTGCCCCAGTCCCTTGGCGCTATTTAAATATTATTATTAAATTATTTCTCTGTTGTGGATGCCGGGTCTTCATTTTTTCCCGGGTGGTTCAATGTCGGCCTCGTCATCGAAGAACACTACAACAACACTTGTATTGTCTGCCGTCCGCCCTCTTCTCCATTTTCTGAGGGCATGTTGAATTAAACTGTTGGTGAAGTAAAAAGGTATCAGACACTAAACACGTAAACTCGTAAAAGCTTTGGATGGTTCATGCCGCCCAAAGTCAGTTATATGGGGGTAAAAGTTTGGCCGGCGGATAAGGGGGAGAAAAAAAAGAGGTGGGACCCTTCTTCTTTCAGTCTTCTTGTGGTTTCGCCCAACCCTCATCTTTTTTTTGCAACAGCTCATCAGAAGAAGGGCCCGCCTCTTTTTTTCTCCCCCTTATTCGTCGCGCCCTTGGTGATGATCCAAACTATCACCTTGTTTACACTGTAAACATGCATTAACCTGCTTTATAAGGCCTGAGCTGTTGTAGCAAATTCCTATTTTCTCAAAAACCAGAGTTACAATCATTTAGTATAGTAATTTCTAGACTTTCTCAGAGTTGTTTGCTCAGGTTTTCGAATAATAATTTGACTGAAGAAATTTTTTACTTTGACTGACATTGATTACTACTGCCTGAATTGTCTCGTGGAAACACATCTCCTAGAAGAACCTCCAGACTTTGACAAGTTTTTGTCTTCTGTTTCCCTGAAAATACCTTTCTCCGTAACGCTGGATTGTCTACCAGTTTGCCACATTGTAGGCAAATGTTTTCTGGCACAGCAACCCGAATAAAAGTTTTGGTGTATTTTCCTCCTCCATTCCATTACCAAACCATTGACCGATTTCGCGAGGTGCGAAAAGTATTTTGACAGTTTGACCGGCAGCGCTGCATGCAGCATCGTGAGAAGTTCGCGCCAAAATGACGTCACTTGATGTGATTCTCTGCAAGGGAAACAAGTCGAGCTTTCGCTTGCTTGCTCGCTCGCGCTTCCCGCCCGGCGCTCGTACGATCGTGCTCGAGCTTACTGTCACGCTACGTGCTCAAAAGCTCCACTTGTGAGCAAGTCTATGTTTTGCCTTACTAAGAATACTCATTAAGGTGGATTTCTATAGCATTTTATCGAAAATAACTTTTTTTGTGCAAATGACATATTTTCTTTTGGTGATTGCTGATGCAAAAACAAATGTTTCTCTATTCACTTGAATGATTTTCCATTAAATCTAACATTTAATGGGATTATCAAATGATATTGTTTATGTAAAAATCTTAATTGACCACTTGAAGATTAAAAAGATGTCAGTTTATTCCTTTCTGCAATGATTGCAGTCAGTATATAGTTTCTTTGTAAGAACCATGAAACTCAAATGTGCAATGAATGATGACCACTTGGCCCAGCTTCATCAGTCCACCTATATGATGGCATCATGTCTTTCCTTGTGTTCTGTATATGACACGTAGTTGCAACACTTTGTAGTCATGAGAACTGGTGGAGTTTTATAGACCACAATTTACATCTAGCTTTCTCTTTGTGCTTTTCAAACCAATTTCTGGAGCACATTGGCCCATAAGTCCATACTAGTCAGGGCTCGAATTTAATTTTTCGATCACTAACCCTTCGGGTTAGTAGACATTTTTTACTAA